GTGGCAGAAGCATGTTTGTAATCCGCGTGACTTTTATGAGGGTGGGGGAAGTTTCAGGTATGACAGTCTCACAAAGTACACGCTGTTACGGGAAAGCGTACAAGGCCGGGTGGGAACTGCGTGGGGGTTTGCATCTAAACACGGCAAACCACATGAAAAGACCACTGGGACCGGAGCATGCTTGCCGAACATTGGGGGGCGTCCAGGAGCATGCGTGCCTGCACGCAGGGAGAGACTCCAAACCTCCTCCTGCAGAGCACACCAGAACAGAAGCGAGAAGACATGGCCTGCCTGCCCACAGTCAGAGTATTTTTCCCACTGGCTGGGGAGGCATGGTTGAGGGTATTGGCTGAGTGAAAGTGCTCCTGTGGGAATGTAATATTGTTGGTGCCTAAGGTGGGTGTACCCAGGTTGGTTTCACCTGGGCTTAGACTTAGTCTGCATATGCTCAGTTTGGATGTCCCCATCTTGGTCTGATGAATGCATGATTTCCCTGTGGTCCATTTACCATAGTGGCCCTAGAGAAGCATTTAGGGAGACAACACCCTCCATTATCCCTATTTGGACTACCTAGCAAATAGAAATGTTCGAGCACAGAAATAAGACAAGTGCCCAGCTCCAAACATCTGAAATGGACAAAATCATTTTTCTTAGAAAGCAAGCATGTCTATTGTTTTTTTAACACTTACAGATGTATCAGTGAATCCTTCCTCTGCCTCCTACATATCATTGTCCCCTTGTCTGAAGCCACCCAATCCAGGGCAACTCCTCGTTTCTTAGGTCCTTCTTTACTCCCAAACCACTGTAATAAGTAATTCCATCCCAGCACTCTCTTACTGATACTCCTTGGGATTTGCTATGATGCGTTATCATATTTATTTCAATGGCACACAAATCTAATGTGTTAATGTGTATATTTAGTTAAGGGATAGTGAAGGAAATGCATTACTATTGTCTGCTAGGTATTTATAGAATAAAGTTCTGCCACTAAATATTATATCATGGATTTAAAAAATAGCACATTGTCCTTGCATCCATATTGAAAGTAGCCAATGCTGATGTGGATTAGTTTGGGTCTAATTATGGGGTAAAGCCTGCACAGATAAAAGTGATTTCAGGGAACATTGATTATAACACAGATTTTGAAGGGAAACTGTATAGCCAATGTTACATATATCTCTCATAATAATAAATTGGATGTCATGCTATATAACTTAGTTGCATGATTTTACTATTAGAACAGTTACATATATGCCATATATACTCGAGTCTATGCCGACCCGACTATCAGCCGAGTCACCTAATTTTACCATGAAAACTGCAAAAAAATGTGCTGAAAAACTCAGCTCATAAATGAGTATATATGGCAATATTAGAAGTAACCTATTTTGTCATATATGTGTGCTTCTTGCATGGACATGTCTGTAATATTTACTGCACAAGTATTTATAATATATAAATTTGCATATACACTTATAGAAGAATGTTAGAATGCTCATGTATAAACAGATATCATAATGTATATAAATGTGTGAGATATATATGTATTTTATTAAAAGCATTAGTCACATAAACAGTATGAGATATGTGGAAGCAATGATAAAAGAGTAAATAATTACTCTTTTAAATTTTAAAATTAAAAGAAAAGAAGAATGAAATGCCTCTATATGTCCTCTACATTTTATACCATGTCCATATTTGCATTCATAACAGGACTGATCAGGTGTGAACATTTCATTAATGGATAATATTTTTTAAATTATGGAATTATGTTTAGACGTTAATATAATTGGAATGTTAAGAGAATACGTTAATATTAGAATATAGGAGTTAAGGAAGTCACAGTGATACACACTTGATCATAGGAGTGAATGGAAAGTGGGGTTATACATATGAATATCTAGATTTGGAGGAGGATATTTGGACAGGAGTCCTTACCTTTAAATATATATATTCATGAATGTGGTGGAGTGCACAAGGGCAACATTTGAATATATCTTAGAAATAACCGAACACCTAGAAGGAATGAGTCACTGGGTCTGGAAGCTTAGAACTAGTCACAAAGGATATCAATGTCAGTTGTCATAACATCCACCAAGCTAATGCTCTACCACCAACTTCTGTGAAAACCTTAGAAAACTAAGGTCTTAGGTTTCAGAGCAGCCATCTGAAGTGCAACTATTGGTCTCTTTCCGTCTGAAGAGGGAGAGTAAAGAATGTCAAAGATGCGTGGAAACAATTAAGCCACATAAATATCACTCTCTATGACCCTGGGACCAGAAAAATTAGATGGTGTCTAACTATTGCTATGGACTGCTCTGAAAGGGACCATCATAGAAGATCAAAAATAGAGTGGGAAAGAAAATGGAATAAAACACAATCTCATAAAAGATGACAAGGGTTTTTGAAGACAGAGGCTAGTGGGGCTCTTGAGACCTTTAGTTACCCGTCAGGTCTGGAACTAAACTCATCCCTATAATTCAATTTTCAATTAAAAATAGGTGTCTATAAAAGTAACAAGAGCATTAGGGAGGTATGCACACTTCAGAATAATGAACCATTGAGGTCAAATAGGGTAGCATTTACTGAAGGACAATGTTTAGAAAAGTGAGAAAAAGGAGGAGGAACGGAAATAGGTGACGCAAGGAGTAAATGAGAGAGGTGGTATGCATTGTGGAAATTACAATTGTTACCACAAAATCTGAGTCTTTTCATACTGCCCAAGTGACGGAAGTATTCCAAGACAAATTTTGGAATGTAAGAAGACAGCTTTATTTAGTTCATTGATGAGTCGAAGTAGGCAGGACTTAATACCTCCTTGGAAAAAGGGAGGGAGGGCAATTTTTATACAGCAGAAAAAGAAACAGAGAAAGGCTTTGGCTTGGGAAAGGAAGGGCAACAAAGTTCTATTTTCTCACCAGATATCAGCTAACAAACACCCTCTTTTCTAAATTGAACTTGATTTTTAATGGTGGCTGTTTCTAGAAGAGTAAAAGCACAGTAAAATAATTTATGTTGTTCTTTTCTAAAATGCAATGGATGAAGCTTTGTTCTAGCTAATTTCAACCAAAACTCTTGTTCTCTGGCCTAAAATTACAAAGTTATCATTTGTTTTATTTGTAGTGATAAACAAATTAAAAATTAATCATAAGGGAACTAAACCAAGTCATACAGAAATCATAAATTTTTAAATAATGTAACATATTCCTTACATATTTTATTGTGAGATTGTGAGTTTAGTTAGCTTATTTGGTCTCAAAACAATTCAATAAAATCACATATATTCTTAAGTTTTAAGGGAAAAGAATAAAACTAAATTAATGATTACAAGCTACATATAGAGATGTTCAAAAAGTTATGATGTGTATTCACAATAAATGACATGAAACAAAATGTGCATGATTTGTCTAAAGCTGCAGTTTTCAGCCTTCCTAATGCCACGACCCTTTAATACAGTTCCTCTTGTTGTTGTGACCCCCAACCATAAAATTATTTTCGTTGCTACTTGTTAACTGCAATTTGCTACTGTTATGAATCGGGCGACCCATGTGAAAGGGTTGTTTGACCCCCAAAAGAGTCATGACCCACAGGATTAAAACCGCTGGTCTAATGCATTACTCATTTGCTCTGTAAATCTTCAACTAATTCATAATTTAAAATAGTCTTTGAAAGAATTAATGGGAAAAGTTTGGTAAAAGCTAATATAAAAGATTATTGTCTGAAATATTCAAAGAGATGAAGCATCAGAAATTGCTGCTTTATTGAAACCACTAATGTTTCAGAGACGCAAACACTTTCCTAATCCCTGCCTGCATTTCCTTATTCCGAAAACTATACACAATTGGGTTTAATGTCGGTGTCACAAGAGTATAGAGCACAGCCACCAGCTTATCCCTGTCAAACGTGTAGCTGGAAGCAGGGCGGATATAGGTGTAGATGACAGGGGAATAGTAAAGGGAAACCACAATGAGGTGAGATGAGCATGTTGAAAAGGCTTCTTCTTGCCTTCTGCTGTGCTTATTCGGAGAATAGCGGCAATGATAAAACCATAGGAGATGCAGGTGAGGGTGAAATTAGCTATGGCCAGGAAGATGTCAGCAACGTACACCAAACCAAGCATGACTTTCCTGTTCTTCATATAAGTTATCATAAGGAATTCCGAATGAGCTACAACTAACATGCATACAACTGCAAATGCACTAACTCATTTTCATCTGATAGCCTCTCTTTGGAAGGAGGGTCTCCAGACCTGAAGAGGATAGTTTGACACTGCTGGTTTAATGTATAATATATAATAGTTGTAAAGATTTTTATTTTCTTTGCATTAAATTATAATCCATACTGGAAGCTACAGTCATTGATCTTAATATTTCAAGTCATCCTTATTTTCAGCAAGCTAATTGTGTCCTCAGCATATCACAGGTCATTAGATAAACATCCTCCGATTCTTATGATCCATTTTTCTTCTTACATTCTAGCTTCTCAGATTATCTACTCAGTGTACAGATTGAATAAGAATGGTGAAAGGACAGAAACCTGACACTCACGTTTTCTGACTTTATTTCACTCAGGATTCCCTTATTCTTTGTTCATTTATTAAGCCTGACTCTGGTCTATGTAGACATTTTTCTGATTCTCTCTGTTTTTAGCCAGTATCCAACTGATGTCAATACTTATAGCCCTTAGACCACATCCTCTTCTGAATCTGGCTTGAATTTCTGGCAATTCATGTCAATTTAAATTTAAAGCTGGAGCCGTTGTTGAATTATCTTCAGCAAACTTCTAATGGTATGTGCTATTAATAATATTTTCCAGCAATTTCCACATTCTTTTGTGTCATCTTTCTTCAGAATGGGTCCAAATATAGATCTCTTTCAGTAGGTTGACCAAGTGATTGTCTTCAAATTTTTTGACACAGGTAATTGATTCCTTCCAATGTGTCATCAGCTAATTGAAACATTTCAATAGTTATTCTGTCAATTAATCGAGCCCGATTTTTACAGATGCCTTGGATGTAAGTTAAATTCTTTCCATACTATCAGCCCTTGATCATTAGTTACCTCTTGAAATGGTTGAATGTCGACCAGTTTTTTGTTTTGTTTTTAGTACAATGAAATGGTATATTAGTAGCCTCATTTTTGCTACTAATATTCACCTTCTCCAATATCCAAGTGTATGCACATTTGCCATTTATGTTGTTGTAACAGGTATTTTCAATGAAGTTGTTCACCTTGAAATTTATTTTCATGCAGTCTCCAGCTTTACTTCTAAGTGGTTACTATGAGTCAGAACAGAATTAATGGCAATAAGTTTAGCTTTAACTCACTTTTGCTTTCAAATTTTGAATTTTAATAGTCAGTAATTATCAATGTATATTGACTGCATGTTTGATCAATTTTAGACTTAAGAAGATGATAGAATTCAATTTATTCAACACTAGTTTTAGTAGTTGATGCATGAAATTGAATAACACAGCCCAGTAACAACAAGAAAAATTATTTTATTGGTTTCATGGATTTTAGGCCTATTTAAAAAATCATTTTTATTGAAGGCTTATACAACTCTTATTATAATCTAGATATACATCTGTTGAATTAAGCAAATTTGTAGATATGTTGCTATCATCATTTTGCAAAATATTTTCTTTCTATGTGAGCCCATGGTATCAGCTCCTCATTTTTTCCTCCCTCCCCCACCCTTCCTCCTTCCCCAACCCTTAAAATTTATAAATTATTTTTTTCATGCCTTACACTGATTGATGTCTCCCTTAACCCACTTTTCTGTTGTCCATCCCCCTGGGAGGGGGTTATATGTAGATCATTGTGCTCGGTTCCTCTTTTCTCCCCCACCTTCCCCTTCCCCTCCTGGTATCGCTACTCTCTATATAGGTCCTGAGGTGTTTATCTGTCCTGAGTTTCTTGTTTGTCCAGCTCTTATCTGTACCAAGAACATGCTCTAAAATAGCCAGATTTATAAGGTAGAATTGGGGTCATGATAATGGGTGGGGGGTTGGGAGAAGGAAGCTATAACGATCTAGAAGAAAGTTGTATGTTTTTCAATGGTGCTATACTGCACTCTGACTGGCACATCTTTTTCTTGTGAACCTTCCTTAAGAGGATGTCCAACTGTCTACAGATGGGCTTTGGGTCTCCACTCCCCTCTCCCCCTCACTCACAATGATATGATGTTTTGGTCTCTTATCTTTGATATCAGATACCCGATCCCATCGACACCTCATAATCACACAATCTTTTGTGCATCTTCCATGCAGACTTAGTTGCTTCTCAGATTTTGGCCGTTTGTTTATCATCAAGCCTTTAAGACCCCAGATACTATATCTTTTGGTAGCCGGGCACCATCAGCGTTCTTCACAACATTTGCTTATGCACCTATTTTCTCTTCAGCAATCGTGTCGGGAAGGTGAGTTTCACAGAATGAAGTGATGAACAAAGTGCTCTTGCATTGAAGGAGTACTTGAGTAGAGGCCCAATGTCTACAAGCTACCTTAATACTAAATCTATAAATATATGTACATAGATATATTTCCATATCATTATATATAAATATATTTACATATGGACATGCCTGTATGTAGACCTATATAAATGTCCTTTGACTCCTAGTTTAGGCTTATTCTTGAGGATACTTAGGGTGCTGTTTCAGAAAATTTCCTTGCATAGACTGCACCAGTTCTTGTTTCTTAGATGTAGTATTCTACAATATTTTCAGTTATTAATGTATGCTAAATTATGAATTAATAATACTTATTTCAAATATAAGAAGAATCAGACATACAAGTAATAGGATAAGGCAAAAAAAGTAAGAAATATTTATAAAATAAATAACTATTAAAGGATCTCCAAGGGAAGCTGTATATAGACCCATGGTGGCTGGTTGGTTACTCATTGAACTGCCACAAGGTCAGTAGTTCAAACTCTCCAATCCCTTTGCAGCCTTTAAAGTTTTTTTTAAATCGTTTTATTAGGGGCTCATACAACTCTTATCACAGTCCATACATACATCAATTGTGTAAAGCACATTTGTACATTCATTGCCCTCATCATTCTCAAAACATTTGCTCTCCACTTAAGGCCCTGGCATCAGATCCTCTCCACCCCCCTCCCTGCTCCCCTCTTCCTCATGAACCCTTGATAATTTATAAATTATTATTTTGTTATATCTTGCCCTGTTCGACATCTCCCTTCACCCACTTTTCTGTTGTCTGTCCCTCAGGGAGGAGGTCACATATAGATCCTTGTAATCGGTTCCCCCTTTCCAATCCACTCTCCCTCTATGCTCCCAGCATCACCACTCACACCACTGGTCCTGAAGGGATTAATCGTCCTGGATTCCTTGTGCTTCCAGTTCTCATCCATACCAGTGTACACCCTCTGGGCTTGGAAATCCAAAGGGGGCAGCCCTTCTCTGTTTTATGGGGTCATTCACTATGAGTTATTGAAAGATGGGTATTGAATAAAGAATACTGAAGAAGAACTGATGCACTTGAATTGTGGTGCTGGAGAAGAATATTGGAAGTGCTATGGACTGTCAAAAGAACCAATACAGCCGTGTTGGAAAAAGTACAGCATGAATGCTCCTGAGAGGCAAGGGTGAAGAGACTTTAACTCACATTCTTTGGGTATTTCATCAGGAGAGACTAGTTCCTGGAGAAGGATATCCTGGTTGGAGAAGTAATGGGCAGCTAAAAAGAGCTTTGCTGTGTTAGTCTGGGTACTTTAGAGAAACATATCTACAGAAACTCAAGTATAAGAGAGAGTTTTATATAAAGATTAAGTGCACATCAAAAAACATCCCAACCCACTGCTGCCCAAGCCCACAAGTCCATTAGCCAATATGTCCAAAACCAATCCACAAAGTCCTCCTCCATCTCACAAAACACACACTCTGACACCCACTGCAGGAGGAAAGCGAATCAGTGAATGTGTAAGCATCTCAGTGCTGGCAGGGGTCTCCACAAGGCTGCTCCAGCACCCAGGGCTGCACTGGGGTAGGTCCATGTGGCTTCTCCTTGGGGATGTCTTGCAGGAAGTGAACCTTGAAAGCTGAAACAGGAAACTGGCTAAGGCAGCTGAACCTTGGCCTGACCATCACAAACAAGAGACCCGAGAACTAGAAAGGCGAGGCTCACCGAGCCATTTATCACTCTGCCCTTCAATTAACCCCACATGTGTTGTGAGAATGATGAAGTCAACATATATACTAATGTGCTGGACACAAATGACATATGTACGGATTGCGATGAGTTGTATGAGCCCCTAATAAAATGATTATTTAAAATTTAAAAGACTATGACTATGCAAACATATTTTTATTTGTCATTTCTTTAATAAACATATATAAAATACAATGCCTGATGCAACAAGTTAACAAGAAATATGTATAAGCCATAGTGGAACATGCTCCAGGAGACATGGGTTTAAAAAGAATGCTTAAATTTTTTATTAAAAAGGTTTTAAAAGATGAATAATGTGGAATTGAATGGTTCAAATAATCATTTCAGCAGTTTAGACCATGTTTTTTCTTATTCCATTTCAGAAGAAACACAGTCATATAGTTATGTGATATTCAGTCATGCTAAAATATGAAAATGTGTTGTTGAGCAAAACCAAGCAACAATGTAGAACTAAACAGCAGCAACATCAAGCCACTGACAAAGAACAAATTAAAATATACCAAGAAAGAAAAGCTTGTGTTTTCCAGTCTA